CAAGGAGTGGCTTTAAAGTTTGAGTAAATTCTAATATATTTTTCGTTTAAAAATAGCATGTCACAGTATCCAATTTTCACTAAAAAATCTGTCCAGTCTGTCTCCCATCCTTTCAATGCCTAAATATGCATAGAAATGTCTGAATAATGATCTGTAAATTCTATTGATAGTTCCATATGGTGGGCTTTTGGGCACATTTTAATTTTTTTAAAAAAATATTTTATTGGTTTTTGTACAGAGAGGAAGGGAGAGAGATAGAGAGTTAGAAACATCAATGAGAGAGAGTCATCGATCAGCTGCCTCCTGCACACCCCCCACCGGGGATATGCCTGCAACCAAGGTACATGCTCTTGACCGGAATCGAACCCAGGGCCCTTCAGTCCCCAAGCCAACGCTCTATCCATTGAGCCAAACCGGTTTTGGCACATTTTAATTTTTTTTATACTTTTCTTAAGCTGTACATATTCTACAATAAATATGTATATATTTTAAAGCAAAGTTGCAGAAGCATAAAGGAATGGAAATAACATACTAATAAGTTCAGGTTACGTGGGGTAGTCTGGGGGTGCTGGGGAGACAAAACTGAAGGCAGAAGGCAGTTTGGTCAGAGTTCGGTTGCTAGACTGTAATTGTATTTTACTTGGTAGGAAATGGGGCACCATTCCCTGCTAGAGAGTAAGGAGACTGGATCTTTGTTTTAAGAAAGCTGACGGAGGGCAGTGTGTAAGGGATTTTGGTGTGATGTCTCTTTTTACATTATTAATGTACACAAAATGCAATTCTATAACAATCAGATATCATATATCTTGGCAAAAGTTATAATGAAATCTGTTTAGAAGCTTTGAGAGGTGAAAATAACAAACCAGTATCACCTGTTTTATAAAGTTGTTAGGAGTAAATGGTATATTTTAAGGGCTTTAGTATCATGCTTGGCATGTGGTATGTGATAGGTAAATTTTTGGTGTTATCATTATCACAACCATCGCCATTTCTTATATAGATTCTCCATTAAATGCTCTCCAAATCAGCTTCGTTTTGCTGATTTTTAAATTAGATCAGTGTTCCTTTAACAAGCAGTTTGCTTGAAGTGGAGTATTTCTTCTTCCCTCCCAACCCCAAGTAATTTTTCTTTTCCAGGAACTACTGAGTTTTCTGAAGTCTTAACTATATTTTTAGACTCCGTAGCATCTGTTAGTATTGCAAATAAGCAACCCTTAATTTTTGGTCTTCAGGGATTTTACTGACGCTCCCTTGAAGCAGTATAAAGTATGCCTATATTTTGCTACAGTTTTGCTATTACTAATGAGATAGTTGCTAAGTCAATATTTTCTTCAGTTTTACAGTTTAAAACTGCTGGATGAGATACAAAGATTATTATTCCATAAGGCTGGAGGAAAATGTGATGCCAGTTTTACTTAAAAGAAAAAGCTGGGAAGGAAATTTACTAAGCTAATGATAGAATCTCTGGTTGGTGGGACTATTGTTGATTTTCAAAAATACTAAGTTATATACAGTGAACATAAATTTCTTAAAAAATCAAAAGATGAAAATAAAGATCTGGAATCTAAAGACAGGTACCACCTCACTCTGTCTCCCACTTCCCTCTTACTAGTTCACCTATTTGGACAAGTCACATACCATCTCAGAGCCTTTATTTCTTTATCGGGAAAAGATGAGAATCAAGTTAGTAGAAGTACATAGAAATGCTGAGGAAATTGTGAAATGCCATACAAATGGTGGTTATTATTAGAAGTAGTCTTAATTTTCAGGAATTATGCTCTTCTGTTTTGGAGAGGTCTATTCTAAAGCTCTAGTTCTTCATTTTACTGCATTAGAAGAAGGCACTTAACGTAGAAATCATAGGTATGATGACTCAATTTTATCCAATCCTTCTTTGTCTGTTTTTAATAGAAATTCATTTTTAATGGTAGCATTCAAGTCAGAGTGGAATTTTGAGTAAGAGGACCAGCAAAGTATTTTTTAAAACAAATAACTTCTGTAATATTTCATATTTAGAATAACTTCATAGGTTGAGTTAGTGGGGCAAATTCTCAAGGTGAAAATCTAAAGTTGAATTCTTTTGTCAAATGATAGAATAGCTCTGCTTGGCTCCAGTAAACCTGTATATTTGAAATGTGTTTCCCACACATTTATGAAGACAAACAGAAAAATCTTTTAATTCAAGTTACAGGTACATACATGACATTTTGTAAGCTCAAAAATGATTAGATTTTCCAGTCATCAAAGGTTTATCTTATGAGTTCCGACAAACCTAGTATACGCAAAAACAGCCTGACCTTGTTCTTTGTAAACACAAGGAATCGGTTTGGACAAACCTTGCCGAGCTTCATCAACAATGTCACCTGTCAGAGATGAGTTCTTTGAAGACATAAATTTATTCAGGACTTTCCTGCTAGTTCAGGACTTTCCTGCTAGTTGGGTGAGAGCTTCATTTTTCTGATGTTATCTCAGCTTAAAATTCCAAAGCTATCTTTAAGAAAATAACATTGGCTCAATCAGCTTGGATATATCACAAAAATATTTAGCTTTGAAAAAGGGCAGGTACCTATCAGGCCAGAAATTAGGACATAATGCTGATTCTTTCCCCCTGCAAACCATTTTTATAAAACGCAGTTAAGATACTTGAATACAGGGTTCAGAGAACCTCTTTTTTTAAACTGCAGAGTTTAACCAACTGGTCTCTGACCCTTGATATAATCAAGCTTGTCCTGGATCAACTCATTTTCTCTAGCTTTTTAATTTCTTAACTCAGTCTGCCATTTTCTCACTAGTAACCAAGTCCTTCCTTCCTATTTCATATATCTATGGTTGAAGGCACCAGTCATGAACTCCTCCAGTTTTCTGCATTACAACCTTCCCCCTTTCCCTAAACACAATGTAGCTATGTTCTCATCCATGTTTACTTTCTCATCTCAGAAGTACAGCATATTTTTTCTCCTATTTAAGAAAAATTCCTTTATTTTCTTTAAAAATATGCTTTTGTTGATTTTTTTTTTTTTGAGAGAGAGAGGGAGGGAGAGGAACATCAATTGGCCCCCTCCTGCACGCCCCCTACTGGGGATCAAGCCTGCAACCCAGGCAAGTGCCCTGACTGGGAATCAGACGAGACCTTTTGTAGCACAGGATGACATTCAGCTAACTGAGCCACACTGGCCAGAGCCCTTTTATTTTGGTACCTAGTTTCGTTTCTGTTTCCCTTTTCCTCTAACATCTTGATCTATAAATTTCACACCATGTCTGGTTTTAGCCCCTCACTTTCTATTATATTTTCTCCTACAGATTGAGCATGCATAAGTATTTTCCTCAGTTAAACAGAAAAGTCTTTGCCCTGCAACCCATTCTAGTCACTGCCTCTTTGTTCACTTTAAAATTAGACTTCATAAAGAAATCCGCCGAAACCGGTTTGGCTCAGTGGTAGAGCGTCAGTCTGCGGACTGAAAGGTCCCAGGTTCGATTCCGGTCAAGGGCATGTGCATTGGTTGCAGGCACATCCCCGGTTGGGGGTGTGCAGGAGGCAGCTGGTCCATGTTTCTCTCTCATCGACGTTTCTAGCTCTCTATCTCTCCCTTCCTCTCTGTAAAAAATCAGCGAAGTATATTGAAAAAAAAAAAAGAAAATTAAAAAAAAAATTCATAGTTTCCATTGAATCCTCAACCCACATCTGGCCCCATATACCCTTCACTGCACCACTTTTCACCAGGAACATCAATGACTTCCAGGTGACTCTGGTCAATGCAGACATTTCTCCTTGAATAACGCATGTTGCATTATTACCTTGGGTCTCAGTAGGATTCTTGGAACTTTTAGCTCCCTAGTTTCCTTTATGACTCTCCATCCACCTCTTCAGCTTTCCTTTCTTGAGTTCTATGTGAACTCTTCTTGTTCCTCCCTTAGACTATGGCATTGCCAGGATTTTCTCAGCCCGCTCTTGCCTCACACTGCAGGTTCTCCTTGTCTGTCTTGGTTTTAGCATGGAGCTGATGGGCTCCCAAATCGGTGTGTCAGCCTTCAGCTTTCAGACTGGAATATCCGGCAACTGACTTCACATCTCAGCCACCCATTAAATCATTGATTCATCAATATTCTGAGCATCTACTATCACCAAGCTCTATCTTGAAAGACTGAATAATGAAAATACTGGTTCTACTCTGTCAATGGGAAAGCTAGGTGGAAAACCCCAGATAGTAACAATATAGTGAATTGTACAAAGGGTGCTAGGAGCACAGAAGGATAGGGACAGACACCACCTCAGAGCTTTCAGAGATGTTACCCCTTGAGTCTTAATTAACATGCAGGAAGAGAGATCCTTTTCCTCATTTATCTTCTTAGCATCAGGTGCTGCCATTTTAGTTCTAAGATAGGCCTCAGGTCCAGCCCTCTTCCCCGTCTACTGCCTCTGCCTGATTTAAAGCAGGTATCTTGGTATCTGTCGCCTGCATTATTGAAGTAGATTCACAAGTGGTATCCTGTTTCATGTCCTAACCCCTTTGGTCCACCTTTCTCAAGGCCAGCATGGTAGAGCAAAAATGGTGATCTCACTTCGTCACTGTTTGGTGTAGAAGTGTCCCGTCACCTATAGCAGAGGTTCTCAAAACTCTGATCAGAAACCCTAGGGCAAGGTACCTCTTAATCTGTCTATATATCAGGCCCCACCCCTGCAGATTCTGATTGTGCAGTACTGCTGGGCACTGGCCTATGTTTTTAAGTTCCCAAAGAGATTTTGACACCTGACAAGATCGAGAAGCCTCCAGCCAAGGATCAAGTCTGATCTCTGCCTGGTTACACCAGACCCTTTGTGAGCAGGCTTTAGCATAGACATTGGCCACATTTCCCATCATGCTCCACGTGTCTATTTGTCTAGGTAAAATCGTTCATTTTTATGTGAATCCACTTAAAGATTATATTTGCAAAAAAAGTGGAAAATGGTGACATTTAAATCCCTACTAATGTTATTTGTAATGTGTTTCCTGCCTTTTTAGTGGATGATGCTGGCAAAATAGAACACGGTGGTTCCTCTGGAATGGCTGAGTCGGAAATTGATCCTTGTAAAGTGGATGGTTCTTGCCCTGAAGTCATCAAGGTGTACATTTTTAAAGCTGACCCTGGAGAGGATGACTTAGGTAATATCACTCATCCTGATCGGAACCCTTTAACCTGATTACTTTTGGGTGGATTAGATTGAGAACCTTTTCTGAAGATAACTTTTAAGCATGGTTTCCAGCCCGGCCAGCATGGCTCAGTGGTTAAGCATATGAACAAGGAGGTTGGCGTTCGATTCCCGTTCAGGACACCTGCCTGGTTGATCCCCAATAGGGGGTGTACAGGAGGCACTGATCAATATTCTTTCTCATCATTGGTGTTTCTGTCTCCCACTCTCCCTTTCTGAAATAAATAAAATTATATTTAAGGAAGGTTTCCAATGTAGCAGTAGAAAAGTATGTAAAACGTGATATGTGAAATAGGTGGAAATGAAGTTCTCTCATAAATTTGTGGAGCTGTCATCTTCCCTAATAGGTGGCACCGTAGACATTGTGGAGAGTGAACCTGAGAATGACCATGGAGTTGAACTAATTGAGCAGAATAGCAGTATTCGTGTGCCAAGGGAAAAGATGGTTTATATGACTGTCAATGACTCTCAGCAAGAAGATGAAGATCTGAGTAAGTAGATGGTCTTTTTGTGGGCGAAAATGTGATGTTCTTGTAACTCTTTTAAAAAATAAAAATAAAATCTTTAAATATGGCCCTAGCCGGTTTGGCTCAGTGGATAGAGTGTCAGCCTGTGGATTGAAGGGTCCCAGGTTTGATTCCAGTCAAGGGCATGTGCCTCTGTTTCAGACTCAGTCCCCGGCCCCAGTCGGGGTGCACGTGGGAGGCATCCAGTCGATGTGTCTCTCTCACATCAATGTTTCTCTCCCTCTCCCGTCCACTCTCTCCAAAAATCAATGGAAAAAATATCCTCAGGTGAGGATTAACAAGTAAAAAAATAAAAAATCTTAAATATGGCCAATATTTAAAGGAAACAAGTAACATTATTGTAGAGATTGATATGCTGCCATAAGGGAAACAACAATAACTCATTATGTCTTCTAAGAACTTGAATGTAAAAATGAATAGTATCAGCAGTGAAAAAATGAATTATTGTGAAAACCAAGAAATGAATGATTCCTTCATACATTTGAGTGCTTATATGTGAAAACTATGGTTCAAATATAACATTTGAACCTTCTTTCTACTTGTCTATTAATTGAATTCAAATGGCAGTATCTTCTCTATCATCCGTGTCCACCTGGTCACAAAAGTTTATATAATCTTCGACTTAGATGTTGCTGAAATTGCTGATGAAGTGTATATGGAAGTGATTGTAGGAGAAGAGGATGCTGCCGCAGCCGCCGCCGCGGCCGCCGCACACGAACAGCAAATCGATGACAATGAAATCAAAACCTTCATGCCAATAGCGTGGGCAGCAGCTTACGGTAAGTTGCATAGCCGCTCTCCCAATTGAGTTGGTTCTTGAATGTGAATTCATGCTTGAAAAAACGGTTTCTGCGGTCTTAGGTTTCAGAAATCTGAAATGCCGGTACCCTATCGTGGTTACTTGATTTGAACAGGACTAGAGGAAGATTATAAAGTCTACTGTTTGTCTTTATTTTTAACAAGACTTTTCTTCATGTATGTAGCATGTAGAGTGAAGTATTGCAAGAAGCACACAGGCTTTCAAGCTGAAACTTGCATCTTGATTCTATCTGTCCCATGCCTTTTCCATTTTGGGAAACAAGGGAGTCTCTGGGGCAAAATGCTGACGTGTCTTTTAGATTTGGAAGCGAGGCCATTTCTTCCGGTCTTGTTATACTAAATACGGTCATGAAACCCATTATCTAGAATGGGGAATTTCTGTCATTCATGAGTATCATGGCTTACTTTTCGTTGTTGTAGTTAATAAAGAATCCCTCATTCTTTATCATTTATAATACAGTATAATTTTGTTTTTTAATGCGCATCGTTAGGTAATAATTCTGATGGAATTGAAAACCGGAATGGCACTGCAAGTGCCCTCTTGCACATAGATGAGTCTGCTGGGCTCGGCAGACTGGCTAAACAAAAACCAAAGAAAAGGAGAAGACCTGATTCCAGGCAGTACCAAACAGGTGAGGGCACATGAGTTGCACAGCGCAGCGTGCTTTGCGAGCTCTCAGATGGAACTAGTATGTATCCACAGAGGTGTTGTGATGGCGTTTTAGCTGCTAGAGACCACGTGTAACTTCTGCATATCAAAGTTGAAAATATAATTTTAAGAATTCAGTGATATTCATGAATGATTTTCTTGGATAAAAACCTGAATGGATCGAACACGGATGAAAAGAATTAAAAACTCTGATTTTTTTTTTTTTGTGGAAATGAAAAGAAATCCCTCAGATATGCTACAAACATTAACTTTTTAAAAAATAATATATGTAAAGAATCTGATTATGTCAGCGTAAGGAGGCATACTTTACAGAGCAGCAGAACAGATACTTCAGTTCATGTGACGTATTCCTGTCTATTTTTGTATGCCCATTTAAGCTTTGCTGTAAGTTGACATAAATTATGTTTTTGGAATAGCCAAAGAGGACATTGGGATTACACCACTATATTTTTATGGATAATTTCCCACTGATTTCTAAATTGATAATAGTAGCTTTAATCGCTAGTTAATAGAAGTTACATATTCATGTATTGTTTACACTGGAGGGAGTGAGGTTGGTCCAGGCATACCAGATAAAGCTTGCAGACCAGGTTCCTCTTTATGACAAGGTTGATATATCTCCTATGTTGAAAAATGCTAAAAGGAATGTTAAGCAGCAAATAGCTTAACCTGGGAGTATTTGCCCAATAATGGCCAGAACACACCCTTTCAATTCTCGACGAAACCAAACTAGAACTTGGTTTGATCTCTCATGCACCTTTCTTTTCCTTTCTTAGCAATAATAATTGGCCCTGACGGACATCCCTTGACTGTCTATCCTTGCATGATTTGTGGGAAAAAGTTTAAGTCCAGAGGTTTTCTGAAAAGGCACATGAAAAACCACCCCGAACACCTTGCCAAGAAGAAGTACCGCTGCACTGACTGTGACTACACTACCAACAAGAAGATAAGTTTACACAACCACCTGGAGAGCCACAAGCTGACCAGCAAGGCCGAGAAGGCCATCGAATGCGATGAATGCGGGAAGCATTTCTCTCACGCTGGGGCTCTGTTTACTCACAAAATGGTGCATAAGGAAAAAGGAGCCAACAAGATGTACAAGTGTAAATTTTGTGAATATGAAACAGCCGAGCAGGGGTTACTGAACCGCCACCTCTTGGCGGTCCACAGCAAGAACTTCCCTCACATCTGCGTGGAGTGCGGCAAAGGCTTCCGCCACCCCTCAGAGCTCAAAAAGCACATGCGCATCCACACCGGGGAGAAGCCCTACCAATGCCAGTACTGCGAGTACAGGTCCGCAGACTCTTCTAACTTGAAAACGCACGTCAAAACCAAGCATAGTAAAGAGATGCCATTCAAGTGTGACATTTGCCTCCTGACTTTCTCAGATACCAAAGAGGTGCAGCAACATGCTCTTATTCACCAGGAAAGCAAGACACACCAGTGTTTGCATTGCGACCACAAGAGTTCCAACTCCAGCGATTTGAAGCGACACATCATTTCGGTCCACACGAAGGACTACCCCCATAAGTGTGACATGTGTGACAAAGGCTTTCATAGGCCCTCCGAACTTAAGAAGCACGTGGCTGCCCACAAGGGGAAAAAGATGCACCAGTGCAGGCATTGTGACTTCAAGATCGCAGATCCATTCGTCCTGAGTCGCCACATTCTCTCGGTTCACACGAAAGATCTCCCGTTCAGGTGCAAGAGGTGCAGAAAGGGATTTAGGCAGCAGAACGAGCTTAAGAAGCATATGAAGACGCACAGTGGCAGGAAGGTGTATCAGTGTGAGTACTGTGAGTATAGCACTACAGATGCTTCGGGCTTTAAGCGGCATGTTATTTCCATTCATACAAAAGACTACCCCCACCGTTGTGAGTACTGCAAGAAAGGCTTCCGGAGACCCTCGGAGAAGAACCAGCACATCATGCGGCATCATAAAGAAGTGGGCCTGCCCTAAAAATCCTTCTACAGACGTTTGTGGAGATGCTGGCCTTGGAGCAGAGAATTCATTTTAAAGCCAATCAGTCTTGTTCCCATACGATACTGTATATTGATTTATTCTGTGTACAAATAGAATATTGCTTGTAGTTGACTTTTCTTTTTTTTTTCTTTTTTTTTTCTTTTCTTTTTTTCTTTTTTTTTTTTAACACTTTGTTCAGTAGTGTGTTCTGAATCCTATTCAGTTTGTTTAATTAATGGGGAAAAGCAGCAACAAGCAAGTTGCTTTTAATGAAGTAATCCTTGCTTCTATACTGAAATTTTCTATTAGTTTTATATTTATTTAAATATTTACCTTGCTTATTATCTTGATGGTACTCTCCTAAGACCATTTAACATAAAGCTAGGGTAACTTTAGATCGAGTCAATATGATGACTTTCAGAGTAACTATCCCCCCCCATAAATTTCTTACAGTAAAATTGTTAGAGACGTCTAACATACATGGGAGATTTAACAGTCACGTCCAATTAGGCTAACACGAAAGTCATGTACTTGTCTTGCTTAATCTTTTCTGACCACATGACAATGAAAGTTTCCATTTGAGCTTTGTATCCCTGGCATTGCTGAGTAAAGAACAGTGGGTGGGTTTTGTGCTTACTTTTCATTTTGTTTAGTGGAAAAAATATACCTTTGGGGGGCTTTCTTTGGAGTATTTACATCTTTTGTCTGCATAGCAAAGTCTTAGAAAACTTTATTGACAAATTTTGCTTGATCCTGTTGTATTTTGATTATTCTGTCTGTGCTGCTTTGTCTTGGAATGGTTGTGTGCTACAAATGAGACTTATTGAGGACTGCATTTTGGAATCTCCTAGAGGTAATTTGTGGCTCATAGGATCTTTTTGCAACTTTATATATGTATATGTACCCTGAACTATGTATATGCACATATATATATAAAACATGTATCTGTGTGTATTGCTTATTTTACATATTTATACACACAACCCCAAGTAGTAGTTGTTTAAAAATCTATAATGAAAAGTATTAAATTTACAATAACATGAAAGATGCAGGGATGTATGAGAGCATTTTTTAAATCATGCTCTTCAGAGAGACTACTCAGGTGAAGAATTAGAAGGAAAATAAGGACACTCGTATTTTTAAAGAGTAAAGGTATTTTCTTTTAAATATCTTTGGTAATCGAGAAATAGAAGTTAAGATGTTTCTAGATAGAATGTTTTCATACACCTTCAGCTCCATGCCTTTATATTTTTCTGAAAAGCTAACGAGTATCCAGACAGACCTTCCTCAGTTCTCTCTGAGAAGCCCCCGAGGGAACTCTGCGTTACCGAGCGAGGGAGACTCAAGAAGCTATAAGCTAGCTTCATGTTTCAGAGATCGGGTGCTAATTATGATTTACACTTGGCAAGTTCAGCCTACTCTGTTATTTCTTAGTTGTAGTTAGGAAACTTTCGAAGACGTAACGCTCAAGTTGGCTTTGATTAGAACATAACGTTAAAGGTATGTTTTACGTGCATGAGGAAGATAATCTGATGCCTTATTTGGAACATCATCATGTCTTTCACTGTTTTATTTTTCTTTGAGTTGATTTTTGTTCTTAAACAAATAGTTCAGACTCAGATTGACAAATGCATAAAGGAACACTAACGTTAATTAGCATTTGGTTATGTTAGCATAAGTGTTAGAGAACAGAAAAGACAGTTGGGGGGGTGTCCTGAAATTGGCTGTCAGCACATACGAGTACCTGGCACATCGTGGGAGATTTTGGACTTTTCTTCCCACTTGATAGCTGCCTTGCCACTTCATTATGGTGCTCCATCCTCTTTGTGCTTTTAGGTTTTTACCTTTCATCTTTCTCTTTGCCGTTGATCTGTATTCAAGAGTTTATAGGATTAGAACTCTAAATATCGTGTGTTTGGCAAGCGTCCGAAATATCGGATTGATTTACTTCAGTTCTAAGTCAAGTACTTTGAAGCTGGCATGAACTCCAACCTGAATGCCAGTCAAAACCAAGGCATGGGCCTGTCCCAGTGGGAGCTCCCGTGCCCTCTTGGCCTCTATAACGTGCTTTTAAAAAAAAAAGTAACTTAAAATTGTGTGATTCATTGCCCTGCAGTACTATTCTTGAAAGCTGTTTTTTTGAGAACCTTTAAAATGTCCCTAATTTTTAATTTTTTCCCCAGAGGTAATGTAAAAACACTTCAGTGAAAGTGGAAATTTATTAATTTTAAAACATCCTATAAAATTAATACAGAAAATATAAATAATTGGTCATTATATTTTTTTAAATAAACTGAGATAAAGAACACAGCATTTTACACACTTTATATTTCTCTTACATAGTTTGGAATCATACACAGTTCTTTTCTTTTTAAAGCACAATATTGAAACCTTTAAAAGCTATTTAAGGGTTTGGTCAAGTGAATACGATAAGATGTATTTGTCTGTATAAAGAGAAAATGAAATTGTAGTCACTGTTATGTACTGACATTAGTTACAACCTAGTTTTACTTAAAACAATTTTGATTAGCAAAGCTAAAAAAAAAATGGATGTTTCAGTTAAATGTTTTAAAGAGGTACAGATTTTTACAAGGACATAATATAAGTTATTGTTCTGTAGAAATATCCTATTAAATATTGTATGTCCCTCCCTCTGTACACTTTGTAAAAAAAGTAAAATACATAAAAAGAAAATCATATAGGGATGTGTGACATTATTGTAATTGTGTACTTGAGAATAACGTGCAAAAATAAAAATCAGAATATTTTCCTGTTACTGAATGTTTAGTCTATTTGATACCAGTACTAAGTTAATGCTTTTTCTTAAGAAAAAAAAAATGTACAGTTTTTGTAAACCTAATAAACATCAAAAGCAGTGGTTTATTTTCATTTCCCCATTTCTTAATTCCTTTTATGCAGCAGTGGAATTCAAAATGCTTGATTGCTTTGAATTTTATGACTTGAATGCAAATACTGATAATATTTCAGCCCTGCGGATTTGCAAGTATTTCAGAGGAGTTAAGAGGTGATTGGTGAGTCCTTTGATGAGCATGTCCTTGAAATTTATTTTTTTCTTTTATCTTCATAAAGGATTTGTTTTATTAGCATCTCAGATTCCCCGGAGATAAATTTCCCTCGCATAAAGTGGTTTGTGAGAGCACTTAAAGTTCAATTTAGTATCAATGCATAGCACATTGGGTTAGTGGGGGTTGTCCCCACCCCCACCTCAGAAACCCTACCCTAAGCTTCCCTTTTGTGCCCACTTTGGAGGGTTCTAGAAGACACTAACATACTAGAGAATGATTATTGTCATAAGAAGAGAAGTTAGGGAAAAGTTATCAGGAGTTAAAAAAGAACAAGATAGATTTGTCATTGCTTTTAAAGATGAGATCCTGCTGATCCTCAACTATGTAGGACTAAGTATTTGCCTAATAGTTGAGACAATAAATAATAAAAACTTAAGGCAAAGGATCAAGAGGACATGGTGAATGTCACTGTCCAGAGCCGTAAATCGGCCAAAAATCGTAGCATGCTGAGAAACTGAGTTGTAATAAAATACCTGATGACATCATACCAATCTTTGAGCCCAGGCAGTGTATCGCTCTGTTCTCTGGGAATCTTTGTATTGACAATTTCCTTGATCTCCCACAAATTCTAGAATTCATGTAAAGAAAAGCATGACCAGTTAAACTCTTAAAAGGGTTGCTGTTGCAGAGCAGTGGTTTTTCAAGTGCTGCCAAGTTCTCAGCCCTACCCAAGACCCACTGCCTGAATCAGAAAACTGGGTGTGGGACCCAGTGATCTTATGTCTTAACATGTCCTCCAAGTAATTCTGCTGCATGCTTAAATTTGGGAAACACTGTTTTAGAGCACTTGAGGGACTTCAAAGATTAGAAACACACACATACACACGAGCCAGAGAGAAGCAGTTAAAGGTGACATGGGACTCAGTTGATATCTTGGATTTACCCCTCTTAAAGTGTGAGCCTGCTGGTCAGTAAGTAAATCCATTAGTCCACATGTAAGTAGCCTGCACTTAATCTTGTATGACTTCCCCTAAGTTACACTCCTCAAAGGTGGATTAGAATTCAGAGGAAGAGTCAGCAAGTAAAAGAGAAGGACTGGAAAGTGTGTATGTGTTTAATTGGCCCAACATTACTTAAGTAATTCATATCTGAAAACCCATATCGGTAGCTGTTCAACTTTGCCCATTTGGGTTTTGTTTTGTCTTGTGTATATATTGTTTGCCTTTTTCATAAAATAATTCTTGGATTTGTTATATATTGTTCCTGTTATTTTTGACATCTGCTATTGTTGTAAATAAATTCCTATTTTGTTTTAAGTTACCCTAGTGGAGTGTTGGCTGTAGACAGGGTGTGTGCGTGCACGCGCGCGCACGCACACACACGCACGCACACAAACACACACGTGGAAATGAAGAAACATAAATCACAGGGTTAATAAATTCTTGACACAGTAATAGTTGAGCACTTCTAGCACCAATGAAAGTATCAGTGTTGCATATAGGTGTGACACCTACACCAACTCGGACTTTATTTTTTTTATTTAAAACATTGTTTTTTATTGATTTCAGAGAGGAAGGGAGAGTGAAAAACATCAATACGAGAATCATTGATCGGCTGCCTCCTGCACACCCCACACCGGGGATTAAGCCCACAACCCGGGCATGTGCCCTTGACCAGAATTGAACCTGGGACCTTTCAGTCTGCAGGCTGACACTCTATCCACTGAGCCAAACCAACTAGGGCACCTGCTTAGACTAAAGTCACTTTTGTGACCTCTGGGATGGCAATTCTTATAGTTTATTAAGTTTGAGGTAAAACTCAAGACTGATTTTTCCCCCCCTATTCACTTGATCCCAAATTACTTGTATTGTTGGTATCAGTGAATGCATGGGATTTGGCATTGTAGTGACCTGCTGATCCTGTAAAGCCATTAGGATACTTTGCCACAGAAAACTTGCTTAGGAATTGTAG